CTCCCTCCTCCCTCCTCCCTCCTCCCTCCTCCCTCCTCCCTCCTCCCTCCTCCCTCCTCCTCCTCCCTCCTCCAGGTCCACCGCCTCCGGGTGTCCCAGCTTTTCCCGGGCGGTGGATCTGCGGATAAGCCCCCGCCTCGGACAGGAAGAAGAGGGGGAAGCGGGGGGCAGGCAGCGCGCAGGCGGGCAGCCAAAAGGCCGAGGGCGGAGCGGCCGGACCACACGCGTGGAGGAGGCTCAAACAGGACAGAACGACGATCGAATCGACACGGCTCAAGGAAGACCGGGCAGCCGAAGTGAGCCACAGCGCAGAGTGGTAGCCAACTGGGTCGACCAGAAGTAGCCAACGCCAACAGGCCGAGACCGAACGGCCGCGCACCGAGAAGCCAAGACGAGCTGGCCACGCGCCGACAGACCGGAGCGGACCGACCGAGTGCGACCGGCCACAGCGCGCAGCCCACCTCGTCCAATCGCGGTGGGGCGTGGCCCCCCTCGAGAAGGCCGTCGTCCCGAAGAGCAGCCTCGTCGGCCCCTCGACCGGGCTCCGCCTGTCAGGGGGGCAGAAGAGCAACCCTCACGAGCATGAGACCCTCCGCCTGCCGAACTGAGGAGCACTCGAGGGTAGGATGCCCAAGAACGTACAGCAAACACGAAGAACAGTAGGGTACCCTCCCCGAACCGATCTCGACCTTGTACCCCGGTCCGACTGTGTAGGATAGGGGTCGGGGAAAGTTGCCCTGGAAGGCCCCTGAAGGACGGGAATGCATGCAGCAGAGGCTAAAACATTATGAAAAACGGAATGTCCTGAGACACCTGCGCCAATTTTCGGTCAACATCTCGAGCAATCGCTCGGCCACCCTCGCGCGCGCGCTACCCCGTGCATTTGCAACGGGCACGAGAAACTGGGCCAGAATGACCGAGGCGACGACGCCGCGCAACCGCCTGGCCAAGGCGAAGACGACAGGCTTCCCGATGATCTGCGCAGCTGGGAGTTCGCTCAGTACAGTCGGGGCGTTGACCTAAGGAACCCTAAATAAGGAACGAGGCCCCTTTTTTCATAAGTGAACCTTCGACTTCCCATCGAAAGCTTAAGGAAAACCATGGGCAAGCTGTGAAACAATCAAGGAACACCGAGCCCCTCCCCAGCAAAAAAGGGTTCCTTCTCCAGGGCCCCGACTGTAATCCCACCACGGGCTAAACAACGCTCTACGTGCCCTCGGAAAGAGACACCCGAAGCCGCGGTTCAGAGGCGGATCCAGCCGCGGCTAGGCGGGGGGCCCCCCCAGGCGGACGCTCCGAAGGGCGACGGCGAGCGATGGGCAACACGGCATCGCTGCGTTCCCCCCCGCCTATCACTGGGGGTCCTCAAACGGTGCGCTGACAGGCCGTGCGGGGACCTCGAAATCCCCAGAGACCTCCCCGCACAGTCCGTCACCGCCCAGCGTTGGGACCTCGGAGGCACGCGTCGCCCGAGGCATCCCCGGGGAGCGACCCAAGTCCCGGCACCGGGAAAACGAGGGAATGGGTTCCCGTGCTTCGGTTTCTCTCTCGCTACGTTCGTCCCCTCCTCTTTTTCCAATGCCTCTACAGAAGAAACTGGCAAGGATCGCATATGACAATATGAGAAGGGGACTCACACGTCATGCTGATCTCTGTCTGGAATTTGAGCGGCGGCCTTGCGGTTCCACTCAAGACGAGGACAGCGGTATGAATTTCAGACGCAAGATGCGGCATCCTCAGCTCCATGGCAGGACAACGTGTGCGGCACGACAGAGATTTTGTGGTTGGGTCGGGCGGGGCAGCGATATGGGTACCTCATCCCTCCCCATGGACTCACCCAGAGGCAACATCACCGCACCGCTCTTTTGGACGCCCGACATGGGTACGGAAAAAATGGGCACAATGCCCCACAACAAACGTTGTCCCAAACCAACAGCGGCCGCTGTTGGGCAGGCGGCCTCCTGTCCCGAATGGACACAGGCCGCGGCGGCGCGGACAGCGAGCCCTGTTCAAAAATGAAGAGGAACTGCTGTTGGGCATTGTATCCATTCTTTCCGTACCCATTTCGGGCGTCCAGAGGTAGCGTCACCGCACCGCTCTGGGGCGTCTGACCCCGCGCGCCCTCGGTCCTGGGCCGGGGCCGGCAGGCTGAGCAGCCTCGTGGCCTCCGCGTAGCCGCCGCGCAGGGCGTCCTGGGCACGAGGGAGGCGGGTCCTGAGGGAAACGGGCCCCGGACTTAAGTCGGGCATGTCCCCCTACAGGGGGATGTTCTACGAACCTTTTTTTGTTCTTAAGAAAATTCCCGAAAATAATAATAAATATACCAAAAATAGTCGGGGACTATGTTTCGAGTATGTTTTAACCTTTTTGGGGTATTTTGGGGGTATGTTTTATTTGTTGTCGAAAATCCCCCTGTAGGGGAACACGCCCGACATAACCCTGGACCCCTGCTGCAGTGGCTGCTGCGACTTCCAACAGCTGCAGGGTTCACCAACCTGGAACCTATCCCTATCCCTATCCCTATGCTGGGCATCATCTCCGCGTCACGATGGCGACCTCAGGGCTTCCCTCAGCTTCTGAGGGTGCATCCCTAAGATTGTCATCGCCGTCTGGCGTGTTAGTCTCAAGAATAGGGATAAGCTCGAGGTTAGTAAACGGTGGCTGCAGCCCACCTGGCAAGGCACTCGCAAGAGTGCACTGCAGGTCCGCCCTGCTGCTCCCGAGTGGGGCCGCGACGGACTCTTGGGGCAGCTGGGCGGACTCGTAGCCCGCCCCGCAGGCGCCTTGCAAGCGGGTTGCGACCACCTTGCAACAGTTAGGGGAACAACAAGTTGCATAAACCTAAAAACTCTGAGCTCCGCGCGGATGTCTCGGATCCGCGCTGGACCCCCCTCCCTGGCGCGCGGGGCGCGCCAGGGGCGCCGCCGGGGGGGGTCCGCGCGGATCCGAAAAATCCGCGCGGACCTCCGAGTTTTTATGCTTATGTCACTTTTTGTTCCCCTAACTGTTGCAGCCGTTGCAAGGCGAAGCGACCACTCCTTACCGTGGGCCTCCTCCCCAGACCAGCTTCTCACCCGGAGGCGTTGCTTGACGGCCCCCCGGGGCCTGGGCTGGGCCTCGGGAGGCCGCCACGGGCCCCAGACACCCGACGTCTCGATGTGTTTCGAGGCACGGGCCCCCGACCTCCCGACCACTTCCACGAGACCGGCTTCTCCTCCCGAGTCGTCTCTTGACGGTCCCGAGGCCTGGCGAGGGCCCCGAGAGGCCAAAAGCTGCGGAGAATCGCCGTCTCGAGTTCTCCGAGACGCCCGATGTCTAGGGCCAACAAGAACGTTCGGGTGAGCTTCGTCTAACCGCTCCCCATCCCCACCGGCACGGCATTGACCCCACTGGCTGGCCGACTTACGCCGGAGACAGGCTGTCCCCGTTCGGGTCTCGAGGGGCCCACGTGTCCCCGACTGGGGGGGGGGGGGGGGGACGGTGGGGCTGGGATACCTTGGCCTGGTGGGGAGGAGATACGGTCAGGAACTGTTGGACTGGGGGAACAAGCAATGACATAAACATAAAAACTCGGAGGTCCGCGCGGATTTCTCGGATCGGCGCCGGACCCCCCCGGCGGCGCCTCCGGCGCCGCCCCTGGCACGCTCCGCGCACCAGAGAGGGGGGTCCAGAGCCGGTCCGAGAAATCCGCGCGGACCTCCGAGTTGTTCTGTTTATGTCATTCTTCGTTCCCCTAGACAAGATACTGATCAGGGCCCGACTCCCTCGGGGCTTTTCCCATTTACGGTGTGAGGGACAACGATAGTGAGGGGGGACTGGCGTAGAGGGGGGACGCATCGACCTGGCATTAGCGATACTCCGCCGACAGGTCGGTGATAGGCTCCCTATCGGCAATCAATGTACGTCGGGCATGTCCTCCTACAGGCTGCTGTCGGAAAAGATAGAATCAAAACAACTCAAAAGTAGTTATAACAAAAAGTCCAAAAGAAATCGTCCCCATACTATTTTGAATATTTTTGATTTTCTCTCCTGTAGAGGGACATGCCCGACTTCACCCTACTAGTATGCCTATCCCCCCCTATCATCGGAGCCCTGGAACTGGACACCAGCACCAACACAGCGGCTTGCCTCCACAGGGAGCAAAACGGTCATGGATTCCGGTGTTGGTCGCAATCGTCCGGCCCCCCATATAGCCCGAACAATACCACCACCACCGGGATCGAGATCACCTTCCCTTGGTGGAGGGACGCCGCCGATGTTGGTGTTGGTGCCAACCTCTTGGCCTGCGATATCAGTTTTAGGTCGGGCATGTCGCCCTACAGGCGGATCCTGGACGAAAAACAAAAGACCCCCCCCGAACACTCAAACATCGCCTCAAGCATGTGGACACCATCAACCCCCAGACCATGCCTTGAGACTGCTTCTTTGCGTACTCATCCTGCAGGGGGACAGGCCCGACCTGATGCCGGCAGGAGAGCCCAGAATCGAATCGATAAATCGGATCGGCAATCGACATGAATCGGATCGGCGGAAATCGGCAGCCGAATCGGGAAAAGTCGAATCGGCGGAAATCGGCAGGCTAGTATGCCTCCAATAAGAAATCGGAATCCAAATCGGAAGCCCAAATCGAATCGAATCGGAATCGGAATCCATTGAAGTCGAATCGATTCGAATCGGAGGAATCGAAACGAGCCCTGGATGCCGGTGCCCCTGGAGGTGGGCGTCCTCGAGCGGCGTGTTGCCGCGCCGGTCGCGGCGGGCCCGGTCCGCGCCCAGGGCGAGCAGGAGGCCCACCGCCTCGCCGTGGCCGCCCGTGGCGGCGAGGTGGAGCGCGCTGCGCCCGTCGTAGTCCGGCGAGGCGAGGTCCGTGCCCCGCTCCTTGGGGGGGTCGGGGTCGGGCATTTCGGGTGGCCCAGCTGGGGGTCCAGCCGAAAGGGGGTCTGGAGGGGAAGAGGGGGGAGGAGGAGGAGGAGGAGGAGGAGGAGGAGGAGGAGGAGGAGGAGGAGGAGGAGGAGGAGGAGGAGGAGGAGGAGGAGGAGGAGGAGGAGGAGGAGGAGAGAGGAGGAGGAGGACGGGGGGGTGGTGCAACAGATTTGGGGCAAGTGTATTGCAAATGCACTGCGCCGGACACTTGTACTGCCTTGCACTGCAAGTCGTGTATTTTTGCACGCGGAAATCCAGCAACACATCTGCCCCCTGGAAAGTATCGCACGCCCCAAAATGTATTGCGACCCCACAAATCTACTGCACCAAATCTATTGCACCACCCCCTTGTCGCTGGACCCCCTTTTGGGTCAACCCGAGGCATGCCCTCCTACAGGCGGAGCTTGGCCGAACAATGAAAGACAGAGCCAACACATGCTCAAAAACATAGGCAACAAAAAATAATCGACAAATCGTCCCCAGTTTATTGTTTCTACCATTTGAGAATCTTCCCCCTGTGCAGGGACAGGCCCGACTCAATCCTGGGACGGCGAGGGTCTCAAGAGGAGGGAAAAGCGGGATGCGCACACATACACACATCTGTGTACCCCTCCCCCTCGTCCCGCTCCCCCTTCCCCTCCCTCCCCCCCCCGCCCTCATCCCCTGCAGGTCCCTCCTCCCACTCCCCCCTCCCCCTTCCCTCCCGCCCCCCTTCCCTCCTCCCCCCTCTTCCTCCCCCCCTTTCCAGTCTCTCGCACCCCCCCTTTCCCCCCCCCCCTTCCCACTTCCCCCCTCCCCCCTCCCCCCCTCCCCATGACACCTTCCCTCCCTCCCTCCCCCCCTTCCCTCCCCCCCCTATTCCCTCCCCCTACCCTTCCCTCCTCCCCCCACGTCCCAATCTCTCGCCCCCCCCCCTCTCCCTCCTCCCCACTCTCCTGGCCGCTCTTCGCCTCTCTCCGGCGTCTCCGCGCCGCGAGGAGGGGGAGAAAACCGAACATGCGATCAAGAAACCCATCATGTAATAGGCAAAAGGATTTCGCCACGTGATGCGATCATGAAACCGATCATGTAATAGGCAAAAGGATTTCGCCACGTGATGCGAGATCCCCCCTCCCCACATGATCCCGATCCTCTTCCTCCTCCCTATATCCTCCGCCTACTCCTCCTCCTCCTCCTCCTCCTCCTCCTCCTCCTCCTCTTCCTACTCCTCCTCCGATTCGCATCACGTGTCGGATCCAAGTCGCCGGTGTCAGAAACCTGGGCCAACGTCCCGGGGGTCCAATTTCTGCCGTGCACGCTGCAGGGACGAACATGCTCAAGAAACTGGGCCAGCTTGTCCGCAAGCGGGTCAAGAGGAGCGCAGGCCCAGCTGTTCGAAGAGAGGCTTCTTGGCCACCAGCTCGGCCGCATTCTGTTTGGAACTCCGCGCTCTGCGATCTGCGCGGCGCCCCCTCCCTGCCAGCGGGGGCCCATCGCCGGTATGAGAAGCCCGCGCGGAGCTCCAAAAGTTCTGGGGCGCACAGAGACATACTAATACTGTATGTCCTCCTTGGAGGCGCTTGTCCGACCCGAATCTATAGTATACACATCTTGTAGCATATCGTTTCCGGAGCGGCGTGGCGAGAAAGCGCCCGCCACGACGCCTACACTATTTCTCGGTGCGCGCGTCGCCCCCAGGGGGGGGGCGACGCACATATAGTAGTATGCTGGGGCGACGCCGGGTTTAGGTTTTTACAGTTGTTCTTCTTCGTAGCTCTGCACAAGTCGCCCTGCCCCTGGCAAAGCCCAGCTGCGCAGGACACACACACTCTCCATGGCCATGGAGAGTGTGTGTGTGTTGTGTGTTGTGTGTTGTGTGTTCTCTATTGTGTGTTGTGAGTTGTGTGTTGTAAGCGGTGTACTGTGTGTTGTGTGCTTTGTGTTGTGTGTTGTGTGTTGTGTGGTGTGTGGTGTGTGGTGTGTGGTGTGTAGTGTGTGTTGTGTGTTATGTGTTGAGTGTTGTGTGGAGTGTGTGTGTTGTGTGTTGTGTGTTGTGTGTTGTGTGTCGAGTGTTGTGTGTTGTGTGTGTGTGTTGTGTGTTGTGTGTTGTGTGTTGTGTGTTGTGTGTTGCGTGTTGTGTTGTGTGTTGTGTGTTGTGTGTTGTCTGTAGTGTCAACTGTGTAGTGTGTTGTGTGTTGTGTGTTGTGTGCTGTGTGTTGTGTGTTGCGTGTTGTGTGTTGTGTGTTGTGTTGTGTGTCGTGTGTCGTGTGTCGAATGTCGTGTGTTGTGTGTGTGTGTGTTGTGTGTTGTGTGGTGTGTGGTGTGTGGTGCGTGGTGTGTAAAGTGTGGTGTGAGGTGTGTGTTGTGTGTTGTGTGTTGTGTGTTGTGTGTTGTGTCTTGTGTGTGTTGTGTGTTGTGTGTCGTGTGTTGTGTGTTGTGTGCTGTGTGTGCTGTGTGTTGTGTGTTGTGTGTTGTGTGTCGTGTGTCGTGTGTCGAATGTCGTGTGTTGTGTGTGTGTTGTGTGTCGTGTGTTGTGTGTTGTGTGTTGTGTGTGGTTGTGTGTGGTTGTGTGTGGTTGTGTGTGGTTGTGTGTGGTTGTGTATGGTTATGTTTGGTTGTGTGTGGTTGTGTGTGGCTGTGTGTGGTTGTGCGTGTGGTTGTGCGTGGGTGTGCGTGCCTGTGCGGTGTTGTGTGTGGCTGTGTGTGCTTGTGTGTGTTGTGTGTGTCGGTGTGTGTGGTTGTGTGTGGCTGTGTGGTTGTGTGTGGTTGTGGGTTGTTGTGGGCTGTTGTGGGTTGGTGTGGGTTGTGTGGTTGTGTGGTTGTTTGGCTGTGTGGTGGTGCGTTGTGTGGTGTGTGTTGTGTGTGTTGTGTGTTATGTGCTGTGTGTGTTGTGTGTTGTGTGATGTGTGTTGTGTGTTGTGTGTGTTGTGTGTTGTGTGTTGCGTGTGTTGTGCGTTCTGTGTGTTGTGTGTGCTGTGTGTTGTGTGTGGTGTGTGTGTGTGTTGTGTGTTGTGTGTTGTGTGTGTCGTGTGTTGTGTGTTGTGTGGTTTGTTTGTGGTGCGTGGTGTGTGTGTGTTGTGGGTGCTGTTTGTTTGTTCTGTGTGTAGTGTGTGGTGTGTGGGGTGTGATGTGTGTTGTGTGTGTGTGTTGTGTGCGTGTTGTGTGTGTGCTTGTGTGTGTTGTGAGTGGGTTGTGTGCGGGTTGTGTGTGTTGTGTGGTGTGTGTGCTGTGTATTGTGTGTGGTGTGTGTGTTGTGTGTGTTGTGTGTGTGTTGTGTGTTGTGTGTGGTTTTTGTTGCGTGTTGTGTGTGGGCTGTGTGGTGTGTGCGTGGTGTGTGTGGTGTGTGTGTTGTGTGTGTGTTGTGTATGGTGCGTGTGCGTGTGTGTTCTGTGTGTTCTGTGAGTGATGTGGGTTGTGTGTGGTGTGTGTGTGTGTGTTGTGTGGTGTGTGAGTTGTGTGTGTTGTGTGTTGTGTGTGTGTTGTGTGTTGTGTATGTTATGTGTGCTGTGTGTAGTGTGTGCTGTGGGGGTTGTTTGTGTGCTGTGCGTGTGAGGTGTGTGCTGTGTGTGCGTTGTGTGTGTTATGTGTTCTGTGTGTGCTGTGTGTTGTGTGTGTTTTGTGTGTTGTGTGTGGTGTGTGTGTGGTGTGTTGTGTGTGTTGTGTGTTGAGTGTGCGCTGTGTGTGGTGTGTATGAGGTGTGTGTGTTGTGTGTGTTGTGTATGTGTTGTGTGTTGAGTGTTGTGTGTGTTGTGTGTTGTGCGTGTTGTGGGTTGTGAGTGTCGTGTGTGTTGTGTGTGTGCTGTGTGTGTTGTGTGTTCTGTGTTGTGTGTTCTGTGTTGTGAGTGTGTCGTGTGTTGTGCGTGTTGTGTGTGTTGTGTGTTGTGTGTGCTTGTGTGTGTTGTGTGTGTGTTGTGTGTGGTGTGTGTGTGTGTTGTGTGTGTTGTGTGTGGTGTGTGTTGTCTGTTGTGTGTTGTGTGTTGTGCGTATTGTGTGTTGTGCGTGTCGTGTGTTGTGTGTGTGGTGTGTTGTGTGTTGTGTGTTGTGTGTTGTGTGTTGTGGGTTGTGTGTTGTGTGTTGTGTGTTGTGTGTTGTGTGGTGTGCGTTGTGTGTGTTGTGTGTTGTGTGTGTGTTCGTTCGTGCGGGCGTGCGGGCCTGCGTGTGTGTGCGTGTGTGCGCGTGTGTGTGTGTGCGCGTGTGTGTGTGTGCGTTCGTTCGTGCGTGCGTGCGTGCGTGCGTGCGTGCGTGTGTGTGTGTGTGTGTTTCTGTGTGTATGTGTCTGTATGTGTGTCTGTGTGTCTGTGTGTCTGCGTGTCTGTGTGTCTGCCTTTGTGTGAGTGTGTGTGTGTGTCGTGTGTCTGTGTGTCTGTGTGTGTGTCTGTGTGCCCATGTGTCTATGTGTCTGTGTGTCTGTGTGTGGTGTGTGTGAATGTGTGCGTGTAGGTCCCCGTCGCACCAGCCAGGCAACCGCCTCGCGCCCGGCACCGCTTGCCTTCTCCTCCTCCTCCTCCTCCTCCTCCTCTTCCTCCTACGCCCCCCCGCCCCCTCCTCCTCCTCCTCCTCCTCCTCCTCGTCCTCCTCCTCCTCGACCTCCTCCTCCTCCTCCTCCTCCGCCCCCTCATCCTCCTCTTCCTCCTCCTCCTCCTCCTCCTCCTCCTCCTCCTCCTCCTCCTCCTCCTCGTCCTCCTCCTCCTCCTCCTCCTCCTCCCCCTCCACCTCCTCCTCTTTCTCGTGCCACGGGGCGTGACTCGCGTTTGTGAGAAGCGTGTGGGTTCCCCCTGCCCGAGCTCCACGAGCTGGCGGATGCGGCGCACGTCGCCCCTCGACGCCGCCCACCAGAGGGCCGACTCGTTCGACTGCTGGAGGCCGTGCGACCACCTGGGGAGCGGCGCGGGGTCGAAGACGTGGCAGTGCAGGCGCTCGCTGAGGAGGCGGCAGAACTGGATGCCGCGGCAGGAGTTGCCGCACGAGTCCAGGCGCGGGGAGAACGTTGCCACGCCACACACGCCCGGGATCACGACGCAAAGCACGCCCGAGACGCCGCTCTTCGCGGGGAAGCCGCACGAGAAGGCAAACTCCCCGGAGAAGTCGTACATCCCGCAGGAGGCCATCAGGGACAGGCAGTTGGTGACAGTCTCGGCAGATGACCGGCGGCTCAGAGATGGGACCCTGAGCGATGGGGCCCCTGGAGGGCACGGAGCCTCAAAAAGTGTGAATTCTACCTGGGATCCCTTCCTGTCGTTACGGCTTCACTGAAGGGGCTCCGGGACACACAAATAAATAGGCGCACATCCCAGGATCCCCCCTGGTTTCTCATGTTTTTAGGTTTTCGTCTTCCCCCCACTTCCTATATTTCGCATCTTTCCTGGAGATCGACGATGGATTGTGTCTGTGTGTTTTTTTCCCCTCCTGATTCACCCCGCAGGGCCCAATTCTTGAACCGCCGAGAGAAGACTCGCTCTCCCGTGGTCGGGCATACTCCGCCGTTGGCGAGCGTGGCGGCGACCACGGACATGGTCTCGCACGTGAGCTCGATGGAGCACCAAGAGAAGTAGGCCTCGAGCACTTTGTCCAACTTGCCGGCTGCCGCCTCGGGAAACGCGCCAGCCTCTACCATCATCCACGCCAAGCAATTGTTCCGCGCGGCGGTGGCGCGCTCGCCCATCATCGTTGAGTACTGGAAGCCGGGACGCACCTTGCCCGAGAGCGTCTTCCACACATCCATCACGTAGTCAAACCTGTCCCACTCACTTTCCTCCATCTTTACCAGCGACGCGGCCATGATGGCGCCAGCATTGATGAGCGGGTTATGCGGGATGTTCTCGGGCTGCTTCAAGATTCGTTCGTTGAAGATGCGCCCAGACGGCTCGTGTCCGATGTGCTTATGTACCACGTCCTTGCCATGCAACTCCAGAGCCATGCAGTACGTAATCGGCTTCGACGTCGACTGCACGCAGAAAAGCGCCTGTGCGTCGCCCAGGCTGAACCGCTGAGCGCTCACGGAGCACACCGCCACGCCCCACTGCTCGGGGTCTGCTGCGGCCAGCTGCGGGATGTAGTCTGCCACGCGTCCTTCCCGGTTCTCCGCGACTGCGTCGAAGATGCCCCTGACCTGCGAGCGGAACGAGGGGAAGTCAGGGATCGCGACGTTTCCCGACAGGGCCTAGGCGGGGAGGAGGATGAGGAGGAGGAGGAGGAGGAGGAGGAGGAGGAGAAGGAGGAGAATGAGGAGAAGGAAAAGGAACTACAATGAGCTCAGTCACGATACGTACCACCGGCAGAACTACACGTCGGCAATTGGGGGTACTTGGAGGCGGCGGATGTTGGCATGCACATCTGCAGGTAAAACGAGAACAGCTGTGCTGGACCAGCGGACGCATACGATCTAACATGTTGTTGTACAAAACCAGGGGATACCAACGACGACGCAGCAGCATACGGGTTGGACTCCCGTTGGGCACCTGCTGGTTGGCAGAGCTCTCCTCTGACTTGGCTGCTGCACCAGGCAAGCTACTCCCCCCCGCAGTCATGCTGTCTTATTTCAGTCGCAATAACCTGCCCACACCCACACACACACACACACACGGCCCGCTCCACCAGCACCGAATCCAAAGAACATTGCTGCCTTCCGCCCACCGTCCGCCGCCTGCCCTCGCCATCCTTCCGCTCGCCATCCGCCGGCCTTCCGCCGAAGAAGGATAGGAGAGGCCAGCCCCATCGATCCCTCGAAGGCGAGCTCCCTCCTAAGTGCCCTACCTTGGGCCTCAAACTCGATGCACGATCTAGCTTCAGGTCGGGCGTGTCCCCCTACAAGCGGAGATTGGAGGAAAAACAACCATTAGTCCCCATATTATTGTTGTAAATTGTCCCCATATTATTGTTGTAAATTGTTCTTGAACCTACTTCCTGTAGAGGGGCACGCCCGATTTAAAACTGGCTGCTGCGGGCCCACGCGCTGGCATCATATTGCGGGGAAGGCCGTCGGCTTCAACACCTGCGCAGCGAAAGGTGCCGAACCGAGTTGCCGATGGCAAGAATACTGCCGATAGTGAGCAGGAAGAGAAGAAAGGGGAGGAGCAGGAGTGGCAGCAGTGGCAGAATGCACATGTACTACCAAGTGGCTGGCACAGGCAGGCTCTCTGCGGCGCCACCCAGCGCAAAGCGTCGTGAGGACGAAGCAGCATACCAACTTTGAGATGCCACCGATCGTAATGTCTCGGACTTTGCGAAACCTGATTAATCACGGCCCCACCGTTAAAGCACCTTAATGCACGCATGAAGCGGGGAAGGGGTGTGAAGATGAGAAGGAGGACTGGGGCGAAGCAGAAAGAGGGGAAGAGGACGGAGGAACAGGGAATGGGAGAGTAGGGAGTCATATTAAGTCCCAAGTTCAGGCTCGTAACACATCCGCCTACTAAAAGTTAGGTCGGGCCTGTCCCCCATAGAAGGGGATTTTGGATGAAAGATCAAACGTACCCCACAAAGTTTTCAAACAGATCAGAAAATGCTCAAAAAAATGTCCCTAGACTATGCTTCGACTCTGATTGAATTTTCCTTTCTGTAGAAGGACAGGCCCGACTTACATCTAAAGAGAGCCGAGTGAAAGGTGTTGCGGGGCTGCCTGTGCAAGCAGCACGCTCCGGTCCTGCACCGCCTCGTACTGCTCCGCCGACATCTGGTCTCCGAAGTCCCGCCTCGCCCCTCGGAGCACCTCCGCCAGCCTCGCGTCTCCCTCGAGGCCGTGACTGCGCAGGGTTTCCTAAAGTCGGTCTCCTCCTCCTCCTCCTCCTCCTTCTCCTCTTCCTCCTCCTCCTCCTCCTCATCCTCCTCCTCCTCCTCCTCCGCGCCGAGCGCGCCGCGCAGGCCGGAGGGCCTCGTTTCCACCGTTTTCTCACTTTCACCTCCCTCCCCTCCCTTTCCCCCCCCCCCTGGGTGCCCCAGCAGAGCTGATCTCGATCTCACTCCTATTCTGCGAGCTGCGTGCCGGCCCGGCCTCTGCAGACAGGCGCATTGCTGCATCAGCGTAGGAGTCAACAACAAAAAAACTCTCCCCCCCCTCCGCAGGTTCCCACCGTCGCCTGGCCGACTGCTTCCGCCCCGAAGGACGGTGCAATGCGCGACTGGGAGCCGGCAGTGCCGGCCTGGAGCGGCTGCCGAGGGGCAACCGGCGCCGGCCCTGTTCTTTTCCCTGCTTGCGCGACGTCTGGTGCCAGGCACACTGGCTCGCTCGCTCCCCCGGGGGACGGACAGACCCCCCCTCTAGCAAAACGAGGCTTCGTGAAAACGACCTGAGGCCCACACCTGGCGGGCGCAGGCCTGGGGCCCCCTCCCCCGGCCCTTTTTCCCCTTGGGGCGAGGGGCGAGGGACGAGGGGCGAGGACGAGGGACGAGGACGAGGAGGAGGAGGAGGAGGAGGAGGAGGAGGAGGAGGAGGAGGAGGAGGAGGAGGAGGAGGAGGAGGAGGGGGGGGAGGAGGAGGAGAGGAGGAGGAGGAGGAGGACGAGGACGAGGAGGAGGACGAGGACGAGGAGGAGGACGAGGAGGGGCGAGGACGAGGGACGAGGAGGAGGAGGAGGAGGAGGGCCCAGGCTGAGCCCCCCCCCAGGGTGGCATTGCCGAAGGCATGCGGGCGGAGAGCGGCATCCGCGAGATCTGCGGTGAGATCCTCCTCCCTTCCCTCCTCCCTCCGCCGCCATCCGGCTTCTCCTCCTCCGTCCCTTCTCGCGTTCCCACCCTGCTACTCCCTCTTGCCTCCTCCAATCCCTCCCTTCTCCATCCTGCCTCCGTTCTCCCCTCTCCAGCAGCGCGGCTCCCTCCTCCTCCCCATCCTCCCTCCGTCCTCCCAAGATCCCTTCTCCTCCTGTCCTCCTCCATCATTTTCGTCATCCCCCTTCTCCTCCTCGTCCTACCGACTATGTTTCCTCATCCTGCTCCTTGCGCTCCCCCCTCCTCCCCCATTCCTGCCTAATCCGTTCCGTCTCCTCCATCGTCCCTCGTCCCTCGGTCCCTCCCTCCGGTTGCCGTTCCTCTCCCACTTCGACCTCTTCCCTCCTCCTCCTCCCCTCCTCCTCCTCCTCCTGCTCCTCCTCTTCCTCCTCCTCATTGTCATCGTCATCATCATCATCATCATCATCATCATCATCATCATCATCATCATCATCATCATCATCATCATCATCATCATCATTATCATCATCATCATCATCATCATCATCATCATCATCATCATAATCATCATCGTCAGCAGCAGCAGCAGCATTACCATCATCATCGTCATCATCATCAGCATCATCTGCATCATCAGCAGCATCATGATCAGCATAAGCATCAGCATCATCATCAGCATCAACATCATCATCAGCATCATCATCATCCGAATCATGTACTCACCCTGATCATCATCAGCAGCATCATCATCTTCCTCTGCCTTCCCCAAGGCCCTATTCATGATCATCAGCAGCATCCTCCAAAGTATCAGCCCCATTTCCTTTACCACATCCCCCCTCCATTCTTCCCTCATCCACCATTGCGCCTGGTGTTCATCCTCCGCCTGCTCATTCCCCTTCCTCCTGTCCCTCCTCCTCCTCCTCCTCCTCATCATCCTCCTCCTCCTTCTCCTCCTCCTCCTTCGCGTCCTCAACGTCAGCCACTGCCACCCCACAAGTCGAAGCTTCTCCAGCGCGCCGGCCGGGAGGCTGGAACCCCATGGCGGCTAGTGAAGAGGAGAAAGAGGGAGGGTGAGGGAGAGGGAAAGGGAGAGGCGGTGGGGGAGGGGGAGGGCGAGGAGGAGGGGGAGCTGGAGGGGGAGTGGGAAGGGGAGGGAGGGAGGGAGGGAGGGAGGAAGAGAGGGAGGGAGGGAGGGAGGGAGGGAGGGAGGGAGGAAGGGAAAGAAATGGAGAGAGAGAGAGAGAGAGAGAACAAACAAACCAAAACAACAAAAAAGCGAGCGCAACAGTTCGGACGGCAGGTCGTCCAGGCCTGGCGGGGCTCAGCTCCCGCTCAGGCCGACCTCGCACCGGCGGGAGGTGCCGCAAGACAGACAGGGCTGGGGCAGAACGCCCTCCCGCCTGGCGCGGACTGCAAAGGTCCCCGACCGGAAGAAAAAACGAGGCGGTGCCTGCTGTGGGCCGTTTTCGGCTGGCGTGGTCTGCGCCGGCGTACTCTGGTCAGCGTCGGGAGGGGCCTCTCCTGCAGTCAGGTCGGGCGTGTCCCCCTACAGGCGGATCTAGGACAAAAAATGAAAAATGCTCAACAAATACTCGAAACTGGTCAAACATACTAGACAAAGATTCCTCCTTTAGAGGGACGGGCCCGACTTAATCCTGCAGTTGCCGCGGTGGCGGCTGACATGATGATCCACGTGAGGGTCGCGGCCTGCCCGTGCCTCGGCGTGCCCCGTCGCGGTTGCGGCCGAACCGTGGCAGTTTGGCTTGCCAAGGCGGTACCCCCCAGTGAAGCGTCTTCGGACGTGTTTCCATGGAGGAGTCGTTGTCCAATGACGCTTCCCCTGGTGGGGAGTTTTGCAGAGAGAGGGAGAGGGAGAAAGAGAGAGAGAGAGAGAGAGAGCGGGGAGGAGGAAAGAGATGGATGAGGAGGGCAGGGAGAAGCGAGCAGAGAGGAGGATGGAGGTGGGAGGAAGGAGGTGGAAGAAGGAGGAGCAGGGGGGAGGCGGAAGGAGGTGGGAGGAGGTGGAAGGAGGGAGGAGGCGGGACGAGGGGGGAGGAGGGAGGAGGACGCAGGATGCAGGACGGTCGCCGGGCGGAAAGAGGAAGGAGCAGGCAGGAGAGAGGGAGGTGGAGAAGCAGGGACGAAGGAGGAGAGGAGACGGAGCAAGGGGAGCGAGGTGTATAGAGGCCGCAAGATCTACTGTGCGTCCTGGATGGTTTCAAGGGGGTGCGGGGCCTAGCGAACCAGGTGGCACTGAGCCACGCCAAAGTCGAAGTGAATTGGGGAGGGCCCCCTCCGAAGGGAGCATGACAAAGGGAGGAGTGAGGAGGGAAGAGGGATGATGGACGAGGGAAAAGAGATGATGTCTGCGGGAGGAGACATGACGGCATTGGACGGGGGGTTCGAAGCAAGAGGGGGGAGGTCGAAGATCGGGAGGCGCCCTCC